TTTCAGATCATTGTATTTTCAGATTATATGCCACTAACATGCACAATTATTTTGTGACAATTAAAACATATTTTAAAAGTTCATCCTTTTGAGTAGCAGGATTTAGGAACTTGTTTGGAGTACAGAATATCAGCCCATCTTAGAACTACTGAATAACAAAATCCCCAAGCAAGCAACATCCATATGAGTGTTTGAAAAGTACTAGTCTAGAGGAGTAGTGATCCCAGGGACTTGAAAGAGTGGATTAATTACCCAGAATCTGAGCTTGCACTGGCACTGTTACCAGCACTATGTTGTCCAATAGGACATGAAACACCTCCAGCACGTTCATTCCCTGTGAGCAGTGGCACTCACCATGGCATATTGTACCACCTCATTACTTACTCACACACCTTATATGGTGTAAAGAAAAAAAAAGGCAAGAAAGGAGGGAGCAATAAAAGAAAAATGAATGAGAGAGTATGAAAAAGGAGAGAAAAGAAAAAGGAAACAGAAAAGTGTCACATTTTATTTTTTTGCTTTTTTCATCACACATCAAGGTTATTTTTATTTATAGCGCCCTTGAGCCCCTCAACTTCCATTTTCAGACCCACAACTTTCCTCTTAACTTCCTCCAAAACTACAAAATAACATTGAATAGGCTATGCGCATGACACACATCAAGCTGTGGAACTTTACATAAGACATCTGAGCAATAATAGAAGCTGAATTGAGGTGATGCTATTTTAAGGAGCAGAAATAGGAAAAGGTAGCCTGTACAGTGTCTGTGAGTTGAAGATTTATCTGGAAGAGTCCAAGACACAGATCAGATCATCTCAAAAACATGTGGTAAAATGTTGCAGGCTCAGAAGTGAAGAAGAAAATCTCACAGGAAATGCTCCTACCACAGAGGACTTGTTCTCTGTTACTGTCTGTCACAGAATAAGTACACAAAAGGAAAGATCATAGGACAACCTGAGCAGAGGCAGTGGAACACAGGGCAGTGGGAAGTACCGTAAGTGGAACGCATAATGAACTTCCTATATGAATAAACAAAAACTTTTGTTGTAGGGCAGGGATTGCTTGACTGGTTTATTTCCACATCCATGAATAATCAAGCAACAAAAGACAGTTTTCCTTTAAGCTAAAAAAAGGCTTAGATTACAAATTAAGCACAGTTTTCTGTAGAGAGAGGTAATACATGGGGCTATTTGAGTAAGATGAACAATGAGTGGATTTGGGGGAACAAGCTGTAAAAATAAGAAAACAAGATTTCTTTTGTCAATGTTGACACTTTTTTTCTGGATTAAATGCTGTAGTCATTCTTCATATTTAATATCCATACTCTGGTGTACTACTTCCTCTGTCCAAGTCCTGTGTAACAAGAATACCAGAGAAGGCAGCCTGCATCTATTTACTAAGAATGGCTCCACCATGAGGGATCTGTAAACTTAGGAGCAGACTTCTCAGATATAATAGTGTGTACCTTTTGTAAAGACTGCAGAAGAGATTAGCACAACCTGTTCTATGAGTTCAAGATTTCATCTTTTGGGAAATGAAGAGCCTTTCTACTTTGTACAATGATTCTGAAAATTTGTATCCTTCAATGAGCACGCCTACAAAAGTATATGAAGACACCTTGCTGAAACTGTTTTATGGTCTCCTTTATATCCACTTTTAAAATAGCCAACAGAGTGAAGAAATAATCTACAAAATGGGAAAATACATTGCCACCGATTCCATGGACAGAGTACTTAAATCAAGAATATGTAAAGCACTTAGAAAAATTACACACCAAAAATAAAAGACGCAATCAAAAAGTGGGCAACTAAGATGAGTAGACACTTCTTAGAAGAAGTACAAGTGGTTTGGAAGAAGTGGGAAAAAAATGCTCAGCATCGCTGGCCATCAGAGAAATGTAAATTAAAACTACACTGATATACTATTTTACCCTAGAGGAAATAAATGGCTATCATCAAAAATCTACAAAGCAAATGCTATTGAGAATGTGGGAAAAAAGAAACTCTACTATACTGTTGGTCAGAATGTAAACTAAGGCCGAACGTGGTGGTGCATGCCTGTAATCCCAGCACTGGAGAAGCTGGGTGAGGCAGGAGGATCGTTGCGAATTTGAGACATGTCTGGGTTCAAGTCCAGCCTAAATTGCAGAGTGAGACCCCGTCTCAAAAAGAAAAAAAAAAAATGTAAACTACAACAGCCACTGCATAAGTCAGTATGGAGATTCCTCAAAAAACTAAAAATAGAAATTTCATTTGACCCAGTTATTCCCCTTCTAGGTATCTTCCCCAAAGAGTTAATATCATCATTTTACAAGGGTATATCTATCATAACCTTTTTAAATAGCTAGACCTTGGAAACAGTGTTAAAGCTCATTAACAGATGAGTGGGTAGGGAAAATGTATTTATATAAAATGGATTACTATGCTGCCATAACAAAAGATAAACTTCAAGGATTCATAGTTAAATGGATTCAACTTAAGAATAAAAGGTTATGTGAACTAGGTCATACACACAAGTTTAAATATCAAGCAGTTTCAAATAGAGAGGAAAAATAGAAAAGAGAAAAATAGGAAGTAGGAAGATGTTCAAATACACGCTTTCCCAAATCACAAAGTCCACACTTTTAAAAATATTTCAATATAGATGCTAATTGATTTCAATGATTATACTAGTTTATCTTAGCTTGTTGAAAAGAAAGATTTTTTTCTTTGTGGGGGTTTTTGTAAGGATCTTTTTGTTTTGAACTACTTTGAAGAGAATGATACACAATGTAGTGACTATTGTTATTTCTCATTTAAAAAACAAGAAAGCTCTGTTATTGGAGATATGAAAACTAAAATGTCTTTTAAAAAATAATTAAAGAAGCCAGGATAGTAGCACATTATAAAAATGAATAAGCCTAACATTTCAGTCAGGGAAAGTCATTGTTTCTGAGACAGATGCCTGTAAATCTCAGTGAAGCAGCACTGTTTTGAAATTTCTTCAGCCTCAGGAAATTGCATTAAGCACAGGAAAACATCAGTAATGGAGGCACTGGGTCCCTGGCCTGACCTTCCAGTATGAGGAAGTTAGAACTGGTGATATGTAGACTTTTTAAAATCACTTGACCTATTCTTTGCAGATAAGGTAGTTCTAAGAACCTCCTTTCTTGGGGAACTGACAGATGTTTTTTACTACGTGTATTTCTAATCTAAGGATGGTATATGAAATAACCAAACCTGCTTCTTACCTAAAATCCATTTCACCAAATATTTTCACTTATTTTCTTGGTTTGCATTTTAAAATGAGAAAAACTTTAAAAGCAGATGGAATTATGCTTGTTTGTACAATTAGCAGCAGTAAGGAAACTTTTGACATGATTCCCTCATTCACAGAGTATAAGGTGAGAATTTCCCCCAAAATTCCTCTAGAAATTATTGCTTTGTGATCCTCATTATTTTTCACAATACATTTAATAATGAGCACGTTGGTTTAGACAAAACTTGCTTCACTGTCTCTTTTTAAAGAGACAGAATAAATTTGCAAGGGCAATTTTAAATGAAGCTTTTCTCCATTCTTGTTTAAACTTTCATATTACAAATGACCTGAAACTATTTCTATTTAAATAAGTATCATTTTAATTATGGCACTGATTTTATGAAAAACAACTTGCAGGAAAATCATACTAGTTGTACAGTGAAAATTAATACAATGAACACTTACTAAAAGATTTTTTATTTATGACAAGATCTTGCACTTATCTTCTGATGTTTGTTAGCTCTTATAAAATAGATAACTGTGGCTAAATCAAATACATGTCATAATAAATGTTTGGATCATCAAGTTCAAATTAATCAGATATTTGAAAGATATTCTAACTTTCTTTCAGCTGAAATAGAAAATGATAGCACTCTAAAAGCAAATTCTGGCAAACCAGTCACATATAATATATTTTTTGTTGCTCTTGGTTTTTTTTTTTTTCACTCCTTTATTCTTTACGATTATAGGAAAGTGGTGTGATTGCCCGATTACTGAGAAATCACAAAAAAAAAAAAAAAAAAAAATCTCGCCTTCCAAATCTGAGCCAGTCCTTGGCTAGTGAGGAACAAAGCCAGGCCATCTGTTCTGAATATCATTACTACTTTGGCCATTTGGGCAAGAGATCTATCTGTTCCGCTTCCAACAGAGGCTTAAGATTGGAAAACTGGAATGAAATAAGTAGACAGAAAGAGACATGAGCAAACAGAATTTTCCAATGAGAGTTCCCCATTTGTTTGCTTGTCATTAGCATCATTTTAATTTCATTCCAGCCAGAGAGGTAATCTCCAGGGTCCCTATTTTACAAAGCGTTTCTGTAAAAAACTTAATTCCAGAGTCTCTCCAGTACATGTTTAGGAAGGAAAATCATGTAGGTGCATATGAGTCATCAGTCACCTCCGCCCTGCTGCTGCTGATTCTCCGTTGGAAAACAGAAACACGGGTTGCGCTTCTATGCCTTTCTTTCTGGAATCACACTACGCCTCAGGCCATGGTGATTTCCTGAACTAAACAGTTCCTAATCTGCGGAAAGGCAGCTGGCTAACTGCTGGTGTCTGGTGAGTCCCCATCTGTCCCCTGCCGGGTTCTTCCCCTCCGGCTTTCCCTTTGCCTTTCTCCCAGGCAGGAGTCTCTTTGTTTTCAGGGGTGTCGTTCACCTGAACTTTCCTTCCTACGCCTGTAACTTGAGTTCTCCTCCTCTGCCCTGCGGACCTCGGCGGAGACACAGCTGTGTGGACTGTGGCCACCGCGCCGGTCATGGTGGAGATGATGACGGCACGGTGGAGACGGGTGCCGATGGTGTAAGGGGCGCAGGCTGGGCGGGCGGAGGGAGAAGGGACCGCGCAGGCGGTGGGTGGCGAGCGGGCGGGCAGGGAGGGAGCGCGGAGGGACTGCGGATGGGAGCTGTCCACGCGCCCGGTGCTGAAACGCCGCAGCGGGTGGGGGGGCGCAAATACAGAAGCCAGAGAAAAGGGGACAAATACCTGCACGCCGGCGCCCAGGCTGGCTTTGGGAACGTGTTTCTGCAGGTGTCCTCACGGCTGAGCTCGCTGGGTGAGACCTCCTATTCTGGCAGGTTCCAGCTCAGATTTCTCTAGAAAGCTGAATGAGCCGGGCTCCACCGGGCTGCGATTTTGGTAGGAGGCGTGTGCGCCGAGACTCCGTCCTTCCACACCGAGCCTTGCCTTCCCCTGGGTCCTAAATGCCTCCGCACACTCGCTCTCCATTCCGTAAGACAGTACCAAGAATTACTGTAATCCATTAAGATCTGGAGCAAAAAGTGCAGGAGCCATTGCTTTCCACGCAATGTTCAAAAAAAAGACTTTTAAACGGAATAAGGAAAGCTCTGGATCAGATCAGTGTCTGTGTATGTGTGTGTGTAAATTTTACACATAAGCAAGTATCACCAATCGACAGAAAAAGAATGGCTTGTTTTATTAACAGTGTCAAGAAAATGAACTATTTGACAAGGCTCACATTCAAACTCCATCCCACCAAAATAAATTAAACATAAATAGCTCAATTGAAAAGTTAAAAGATAAAAACTAAAAATGTAATAAACATTTACAAGTCTGAGGATTTGAAAGGTTTTCTAAACATAAGAGAAATAGAAGAAATCGCAAAGAGAAAAGATCAGTAAATATAAGAGCACAAAAAGGCTTCTAAATGTGTAAATATAAATCACTACTTGAAGACAAATTGCAATGAATATATGTTTAATGCAAAAAATGCCTCACAAATCCAAAGAAAAACACTAACTTCCTCAGAGAAAAAATAGAGGAAGGGAAAATAAGAAAGGGGCAGATGAAATCAACACATTTAAAGAATAAACCTCACCAGAAAATGTTGTTTAAAATAGTACAAATAAAATAAATAAATAAAAGAAGAAAATATTAAAACAGCACTGAGATGTGGTTTTGGCTGAAGTTGTGAATCTGCACAACACCTCACATTGTTGAGAAAATGATGAAAGAGTAAAACCTTCTACAGATGTATTTCACAGCACACACATCAAGTATAATAAAATATGCTTGGAATGTAGTCCCAATAATTCTAGCACTTTATGGTGGGAATGTATTCAGATCTGAAGATAAAAATTTATGCATATAAATTTCATTTAGAACATAAAATTATCAAAAATAATAAAACACAAATTTTAACATAGACTATATCTTTGCAGCTATTAATAATATATTTTAAAACTATTTAAAGACAAAGAAAAATGCTTAAAGAGCAAGTAATGAAAAGCAAGATATCAAATACTGCATCTCCTTCTACTCCAGTTATTAAGTTAATAAGATCGTAGGGTAGTATACTGATTACAATTTCTTTTTTTCTTTTTCTTTTGCCAAAGTAACTTGTTATTCCTCATTCTGTTTGTCTAAAGTTTCTACATTTAATAAAAAACCTTGCATAATATTTTAAAACAAATTTCCTATCATGTATTTCACAAAGATTTTAAACTCATCAGAATGCTTCCAACCTTAGTGTTGTGTATTATGTTTACTTGCTTATTCAGGCACTACCTCTCTCTCCCCACAGTGCGAAAGAAGACGCTTTGTTCTCTACTGTTTCCTAGCACTTAGACATATTTCTGTGACAGTAAATATTTACTGAGTAGAAAAACAAATGGATAATAAATGGATGATGTCTGTACACACACAAGAAAATAGAATTAAAATATTTCACCACATTATGGATTTCACGTAGAAATGATGTAGGACATCAAAAAGATGTGTTTGATGATGAATTTTGATCATACAGCCACAATTAAAGAGGCATCTTCAGAAGAATAGATAATCACGGACATGCCTTGCAAAATGGCACCAAATCTTAGTGATTTTAAAGGAAAATATTTTCTCTACCTAATCCCCAATTTGATGCTAATTATTTCTTTTTGTTGTTGATCCTTTTAAAAGTGTTGTATACTTAGCTTTCTTCTGAGACTTTAGGGATGATGTTTCTGTTTTATTCTCTGTCTCTCTCTGTCTCTCTCTCTCTCTCTCTCTGTCTCTGTCTCTCTCTCTCTCTCTCTCTCTCTCTCTCTCTCTCTCTCTCACCATGATTGGTAACAGTCTTATAAGTTTTAGAAGTTATGATTTTAAAGTGTATTTCTTCAGCCACTTTTCCCTTTCAGTTATTTCTCACTATTGATTGTCACTTTTGAACCTTATTGATGATGACTCAGCTAAATTTTATCTGCATTTTCTAAACTGTTAGATAAAAAGGTCATAATATATACTAAAATATAAAATTCAAATTTTCTACTTGAGAAATCTTTACAGAAGAAAGTTAACCAACCCCCAAATGTGAAACTGAGACAGTCTCATACAGGGCACCTGCCTGATTTTGTAATGCAAACAATAGAAATTGACAGAGAAACCACAGATGCAATTAGCTGCCAAAATGTAATGTTATATTCTGAAAAAATTTCAAATAAGTTTAAAATTCAACTTCACTGACTAGTGTACAAACCATTCTACTTTTTAAAAGGCAATTTAATTGGTAATTAAGATCGATATGCTGGATATAGTAAAAGATTTACTTTTTTCCCAAAGTATCAATAAAGATGTATCTTTTTCCTTTATATTCATTGATGTACCATTTATGATAAAATTTTTTATTTTATTTAAAATTGCCATGTAAGAAATAACCCACAGTCAAAAGACAACCCACCAAGTAGGAAAGCATTTTAGCTAATTGTCTCTCAGACTAAGGACTTCTATCTAGAATACATAAATAATTTTTAAAATTCAGAACCCCCAAATTCAAAGGTGCAATCCAAAAATGAGCATCTAAGATGAATGATGCACTTCTCAGATGCAGAAATACAAATGAACAAGTAAATATATTTTTTAAAAGTTCAACATCCTTGGTCATTTGAGAGATGTAAATTAAAACAACACTGAGATTCCATCTCATCCAGAAAAAATGGCTTTCATAAGAAAGCAACCAATAACAAATGATGGATGAACTGTGTGGAAAAAGAAACCCTTCTTCACTGTTGTTGGGAGTGGTACAGTCACTGTGGAAATCAGCAGGGAGAGTCCTCAAAAAAGTAGCACTGAGTTTTCGCAATTGACCCAGCTCTTCCCCCTCTGGGTATCTTCCCAGGAGAATTAAAAATATCATACCACAACAATATTATGTGCAATCAAGTTTATAGCAACACAATTTGTAATAGCTAAATCTCTAAAACAACCCAAATGCCCATTAACCACGAAATAGATAAAAAAGTGATATTTTGTATACAATGGAGTACTATTCAATGATAAAGAAGGATAAATTTGACACTTATAGGTAAATGGATCTGACTTGAGACCATAGTCATAAGTGAAATAAATCAGACTTGTATGTATAAGCATCATATTGTCTTCTTTGTGTGAGAAGCTAAAAGTATAAACAAGGTCTAAAATGTGCAATAGATATTGTGAAATGGGAAGAAACTGCTCAAAAGGGGAAAGGAACTAAGATGGAGCAATGGGGAAAGAAGAGAAGATAAAAGGGGAAAAAAAGAAATCAGTTATAGTATTAGTGTCTCTTAGTTCACTGAAAAGGAAGATTTGTGCTAGCATCAGTTGAAGAAATTTTATGCCCATATGTTGTACTCTGCACTACTTTAAAGGTAACAACATGCAAAGTGTTAAGTATTGTTATTCTCCATTATTTTATTATGAAATTTTGTTTTTCCTTTTCCATAAAATAAAAAATAAATTACCATGTAAGAACAACTGTACCTCATTGAATTCTGCACTGGTGTATTTTCGGTGTTGAGTTCATGTTTTAGTTTGTTTCCTAGAACCCAGAATGACTTTGCCTGATACCAGCAAACCACAGGCTGTGATGAGTTTCTTTGTTCATTCACCCTGACTGATATTTGCTGACATTCTGCATATTCTGCTCAACCTCTGTTTCAGCTTCTCACACTACAGCTGCCAAAGTGTTTCTTTGCCAGGATTATGCCATGTATTCCTCTGTGTGTAAGTCGCGAACGACACTGTTCACCCCGCTGACTGTGCTGTAATCTAGGTTTGGATACAGGAGAGTGATTTCTGTTGGCTGACTGGTGACAGGTGAAGGGTCTATTCATGTGAAGTGGGGACACCAGGTAAAATAGACATGAAGAACATGTTAGGATATTAAAATGGAAAAAAAAGAAACACATTTTTCTGGACAGTTGCATAGTTTGGCATTTAAATTGCAAAAGTAAGACTATTATAGTTAGCTAGGTCATATTTTATTTTTCCTAGGGTTTTGAAATATGCGTCCAAATATATTGTTAAAAGAGCTTTCATTACTATTTCTAGTATGTAATTTGCAAGCCCATTTTGAAGTTTCAGAGTTTGTATTAGTCCTTACGGGATAGGTAATTCCAAAAGTGAATTAACTCCTCAGCTCTACTGGTTTCCCACACCAATGACCACTTTCTTGATCACAATGAGAAGGGGATCTGGGAGGAGAAAATGAGTTCTGTGGTCTCAAGTCACCCAAGGACCAAGTAATGTTCAGACAGTTCTTACCAAACTGCTAAACTGCCCAAGCTGGACTCAGATATGTATCCTCTTTCCTTAAACTTTAAGAGTGCTTGGAGTTTTGCATGTGCCACCAGACAGCTCTGGACACTTTTGTAATGATGGTCAAGAAGAGGAAACTATGTAGAATAAATTTTGCAAATCTAATTTTCTTGGTATGGAAACTTTGAGACACCATTGGTTCCAGCAATGAAAAGCAGTGCATTCTCAAATGAAGTTTAATGCCATTTGAGAGGAAGCCCGTGGAGGTGGACATGTGCAAGTTAATAAGCAGGCAACCACCCAAGAGGGGTACTCTCACATGAACCCTCTTGTTCTGGAGATATATAACTAAAACACAAATTATCTACAACCAATTCACCCTATATTTCTGTATTAATTATTTTTTCTTGGCTGGGATGAAATACCCCACGCTCACAAGTTAAAGAAGAAGAATTTATTTTGACACATGTTTTTTAGAAATCTCAGTCCACAGTCAGCAGGCTGGGTGCCATGGCAGAGGGTCACAGCAGAGAAAAGGAGCTTGGCAAGGCAGAACAGTCTTGGGAGTATTCTGTCACATGCTTTAGCCCCATAGGTGGTTTCTATAGAGATAACACATAGAAGTACGGTGCTCCTTTGGTCTCCAAAATTCTTGTTCCCAAAGTCTTCT